AAAGAAACATTTTTTTTTATTTCTTTTAATGAAAAAACGTCAAATCCAACATTTTTTAATTAAAAAAACATTTTTTTGTTTCTTTTAATAAAAAACGTCAGGTTCAACGTTTTTAATAAAAGAAACATTTTTTTTTGTTTCTTTTAATGAAAAAACGGCAAACCTGATGTTTTTTAATTGAAGAAATATTTTTTTTGTTTCTTTTAATAAAAAAACGTCAAACCCGATGTTTTTTAATTAAAGAAACATTTTTTTTGTTTCTTTTAATGAAAAAATGTCAAACCCGACATTTTTTAATTAAAGAAACATTTTTTTTATTTCTTTTAATAAAAGACGTCAGGTTCGACGTTTTTTAATAAAAAAACATTTTTTTTGTTTCTTTAATCGAACCTGACATTTTTAATAAAAAAAGACGTTTTTGTAATTATTTTTAATGAAAAAACGTCAGGTTCAGGTCAGTTTGGCATTTTATATATATATAAAATGCTGAAACATCTTATTTTTGACCAAAATATGTCATGTCAATGGGTCAGGTCGGGTACCTGACTGTGACTGATCTGACCTGAGATTGGGTCATTAAATCTACTATCCGACCTGAATTTTTCGGGTCAACCCGTCGGGTCACCTGATCCGTTGGGTCAAATTCGGAGCTCTAAGTGTAATTTCCTTACTTTGATCAAATAAATTAAGTTTTTTTATTAAGTAAAACATGTTCAATATTTAAAAAAACTACTTACATTTAATTTTTTTTCTCAGTAAAAATTTGCAAAAAAATTTTTTATAATTCTGGCTAAATCATAATTTCTGCCAACATTAATAACAGTGAAAATCACCACCGGTGAGATTTAGCAATACCTTTTAATAAATTAATATTTTATTTTATTGAGCCAAAATTAATTGACTGCAGAATTCCTATCAAATTCCACCTATATTTATAACAATTTATATTTTACTAAAGATTACAAATAAGAAAAATAAGAAAATATTCTTATTCATCTTTCTTTCTTCTTTCTTTTCTTCTATTATTTTTTATCTTTAAGTAACTAAACTAATTATAATTAAGCTATAAATATAACTAATCTAAATATAAATAACTATATATAACTATAAATAGATACATGTAATTATAATTTATTATATTCTTTAGTTATTCTAATTAAATATTCTTTCTTTGGCTAAATGTTTATCTGTGTTCTATTCAATATATTATTTATTTTTCAGTTAATTATTCCTTTGATCATGTGATTATCCTGACATTTATGACTACAATACATATATAGAACAGAAAAATATTAAAGTTTTTTTAAACCTATCAAAAATGTTGCATGTAAGGAATTATTTGAAGATAAATATCAAGAATATATATGTGTTTAATAATTCAGCTAAATTTGAAAGATTAATCAAACCTAATAGCCACAAAAAAGTTATTTCTAGAAATTGTTAAAGCAAATCTTAGACTAAATCTTTAAAAATATTTGGTTAATTTCTATAATAATTGATAATAAATTCAGGTTATAAAAACCAAAACAGGTTATTTTTATTTTGGGTAACACTTATAAGAAAGATTTAAGGTTACTAGTAAACTGGGTAATATTATTAGTAAATTTTCAGCTTAATCTAAATAAAGATCATAGTAAATTTTTAAATTTTGAAACAACCTATATATGTAATTTTCAGGGTTCTATATAAACTTTACCTTAGACTTGAGATGACCTATTTTAGAAGTAGATGGAATTCTGTTAGCAAATAGTATACATTTTATTTAACAAATAGTAAAGGATATATAATATTATTAAGTTATTACAAAATAAATTTCCAATTATATTGGTTTGACTATACTTTACACTTAAATTATAAAATAAAATTTACAATTCCAATAATATCTTATAAGTATATGTAAATATTATTAAATTTTACCTTAATATTTAATTCTAATTTTATTTATATATATAATTTATTTATGCTTTTTCAAATAAATATTTATTTTAATTGTATAAGAATTTTAGTATATTTAAATTAAAGTCCTTAAAAAAAATGAAATAAATTGATTCTATATACATAGTAAATATAGTAATTTAGTTATTTTAGTAAATAATACAAGTAATCTTCATATATAAAATATTTTTCAAATATATATATAATTCCATTCTAACAAAGTAAAATAATTTATCAAATAAAAAAAAATAAATATTTATATTCAAATAATCATATAAAGTCATTTTTTTTTATCTACCATTTTTCTTAATTAAAACCTTACCATATTTTTTTTTTTTTAAAACCCTATTTACCACCAAATATTTTATCCAGTATTGTTACAATATTCCATTCATTGGTTTCCATTTCTCTATTAGAAGTGTTTATATCATCCCTTATTCTTACAGTATTTTTAGGAGTAGTAGAAGATAAATGCTGTCGTAAACGATTTTCTAAATTGCTATTACTTGTTGATGATCTTGTCTGTCTTGGTGTTATAATTGTTAATGGTGGTGGTGGAGATATAGGCTGTGGAGTTGTAGGTGATCCATCAGAACCAATATATTGTATAGTTGTTGAAGATGGAGATCTTATAGGTGATGTTGTTGATATATCTGCCAACAAACTCCTTTCATTACCATTATTACAGCAATTACCAGATACTGATATTAATACATTTTCATTACTAGTTAGTCGCTGTTGATGTCGAAAAGGTTCTGTACTAACATTAAGACCAGTCAGTGTCCCAAATTTCTTCTTCCCATTTGCGCCACCCACTAATTTCCCAACTTTCTCCTCTGCTGCATTCTTCTTCCCTAGAATAGTATTGTTCCCACCACCACCTCTTCCAAAAAAAGACACAACATTTCTTCTTATCATTGAACCGACTGTCTCAGGATTGTCCCTTCGCTTTGTTGATGCATTAGTATAGGATTCTAAATTTCGATCTGCAAAGTATGAATCCTCTGCAAAGGTATCAATACTGCCAACAGATACGTCACGGTCATGTGAAAAATCTACAGATAATCTTCGGCTATGATGACGAGCAGAAGTAGGCGGAGACTGGATTTCTTTTACACCACCAAATACTCGACTAAAGTAAGCGCCGATTCCACCATCGCTACTTTGACTATACCTTCCTCTTTCTCTTCTCTCCATTATTTCTTCTTCATCTTTTCCGCTTAATATACTCTTATCGAATTCTTCTTCAGCCTTTCGCCGACTCGCCTCAACTTTTTGAAAGTATTCAACTTGAACTTCATTAATCATAATACGCAATTTGCATATTTCAGTTAAAAGGTCTTGCATAAAATGGGTCAACGGTAAAAAGTTCTCTGGAGAAAATGCAAATGGGTCTTTTTGACTCAAATTATCATAATTATCATTGGATTCATAATTCCTGGAAATATCTTTTTCATCTGTTTTTATTTCATCATTTTTTCGCAAATCTTCAACCCATCGAAACCGCTCCCTAATAATTTCAACATCTGCTAAAATGTTTTCAATTAAATTATTACTTAAACTACTTAATTCTAATATATCAAAAGTTCTCTTCAACCGACGATTTAATGCTAAAAGATCAGTCCCTTTGAGACGATCCATAATAGAGCAACCAATATTAAAAAGTGATTGATATGGATTTTGTTGTTGAGGAGATTCAGGAGAGTGAAGATTGTTTTTAGAGTCAAAAGCTTCATTAGGACTTTGAACCGTTATTGAAGGTATATGAAGTGAAGTACGTCGTGTTGTTGTCGAAGCATGACGAGAATGGTTAGATTTTGCTGAAGTTGTCAAACTATGCTCAACTTCGTTAGCTAAAGCAGCTGCTTCGGCAGCCGAAAAATTAGCCTCATCAACCAATACTTCTTCCACAAATTCTTTAATAGGTGAATTAGTTGAATCCATTCGACTCTTACCCTTAACAGTTTCAATATTAATATTATTTTTTTCTTTGGCCGAAGTTTCACTCTCTCCATAATTATCACCATCTCTATTACTGGCTTGCTCTTTTGCAACACCAGCACGCCACATTTCCATCATTTGTTTGCGCTCCTTAGGACCTAAAGTTGCAAATTTTGGATTTTTGAAAGCAGGTATTGATGGTTTTGTTGAAATAGCTTTTGATTTTGGATTTATGGCAGGTGATTGTTGTGAAGTTGTTTGTCGATTAACAGCCAATGGTGAAGGTTGTGAGGGTTTGTGTTGTTTTAAACCGGAACTTCCTTGTTTTGAAGGAAAATTTAAGGGTGCTGGAGCTGAAGCGCGATGTTGAGAATCTTTCCTTTTAATAGCACTCAAAGGTTTCTTTGGTAGTGATTTTTCACCTTTGATTTCATCTTTAGAATTTTCGACAGCTGATCTCTTGAGACTGGCAGATAATAAGGAAACATTTTGCTTCTGATTTGAAATGTTTTGATCTGGTGAAGAAAATGCTCGCGCCTTTTTTTTTCCTTGACCTTTGATAAATTTTGATTTGGATTTCTTTTTCTTCAATTTATCTGAAACTCTATCGTCTCCCTAATTTTCAATAGGTGCCAAAAATAGAACATCTAGATGAGGAATAAATACCAATGGTAAACTTATATAAAGCATCTATTTTGGTCAATAGTTGGTTTGAAATAGATGACATTTTTTCCAAAAAGTTCAAATGACCATTAGAAAAAAAAAAATATCAAACCACCAATTGCCACAAAATATGCTTAGATAATAAAATTCACTCCATTAAGCAGCTAAAATAAATTAAAATTAAACAAACCTCGAGATCTCTTTCTTCGTTACTATCGTCACTATATGTTATATCGGAGTCGGAATTTCCATTATCGATTATTTCGCGTTTCTTTTCAATAGTATCTCGTTGTTCTTCATCCTCTTCACCAATTTCAACAAATACCTTTTTACCCTTTATACTGCTGCGTCCAGACTTCTTATGTTTTGTCTTTTTCATAAGATATTTTTCAAGTTCTCCGAATACACTTCCTCGTACTATATCCACATTTTCATTTGTATAGTGATGATAATGATGATAATGGTGATGATGATGTAATGGATTGGAGCTAGACAATGCTGAAGTCGATACAATAGAACCAGCAGGTGAATGCACCGAAGGATCTACACCCAAGCTGTTGAATGTATTATAAGAAGCAGGACCGAATGGAGATGACATAGGAGACACACGAGGATGAATCGGTTTAGCAGCAGATCCAGATGGAGTAGTTGAACCTTCACCACATTCTTCAACTTCAACATTAACATTAGGTAAGTTTTCACCAGCCATACCTCCCGTCCCCATTTCATCCAACACATGTGGAGGAAAATTTGGTTTAAAAGGAGAAGCGAATGCAACAGAACTTGCATAACTGGCGGGATAAGCATAACCAGTTGTACTTGCAGTTTCGATATCCTCAACGCGATTTTGTAAGGTGCTAAGTTCATTTCTAGATTCTGAAAGAAGTTCCCGATACTCAGATATCTCGGATTTTAATTTATTATTTGCTGACGAGAGTTCTTTAATTAATGCGATAAGATGATTATTTGCTTCATTATTTGAAGAAGACAACTATGCGAAAAAATATGTTAGTAAAAAAAAATTATCTGAAGATTTGATATAAAAAATAATATTATTACTTTAAAGTTTCTTTCATTAGATTCACGAAGCATAGCCACTGCCTCCAGTTTCTGTTTTGACTTTTCTGTTTCAATTTGTTCATTTTTCAATTTTTCATGTGCATTATAAAGTTGATCTACAAATTAAAAAATATTAATATTAAATAAAGATGCAAGAATAATAAGATAAGCTTACCAAATTTATCGCTTAACTTTTTTACTCTCATCTCAGCAGCCATTTCCGATTTTCGAGAAACATTCAATTCTTGCTGTAAATCTTCCAGCTGCCTCCTTAACATTTCTTCTCTTTCTTCACTCTTCTCTCCTTTGATATTATTAGCCATTAATCTTTTAATTTCATTATCACGTGCTTTCAACTCTGTGTCGAGGTCTCTAAGCATTGAGTCGGCTTTATCAAGTGCGGTTACGAGTGCATCATTTTTCTAAAAAAACAGTTTTTTTTTTTGAACATACATACTCAAACGTATTAATTGTAAAGAATTTTTTACCTCTTCTAATAAATTTCTTTGTCTTTGCGCATCATCTCTTTCTCTTATTAGTACTCTTTGTGTATCTTCAAGTTCGCGTACTAATTCATCTAATTCTTGTACTTTCTGTTCTGAACGCGCACACTGTAATGAGCGAAATCGTGAGACATCAATGTCCATACTTAATATATTTATTTACGCTCAAAATCATAATTTAGTACCTGATGTTCAAGTGCTGATCGGAATGTTTCCATTTCTTTTTGATACATCTCATGTTTCTGCAAAAGTGCTTGTCCAACCTCTGTAAAATATAAAATGTGTATTTTAATTTTAATTCTTAATTTATCAATCATTACAGTGTCAAATATTAAGTTTTCTAGAATTACGATAAAGAGAATCTCACCAGCAGCCAACCTCAACTCGTCTTCCATTGAACGAGTACTACTAAGAAATGCTAATAGGTTCTGACAATCTTCTCTCCTACAACAACACTGAATAAGCACAGGAGACCTGGGAGCAGGTGAAAAGGAACCCCAAAAAGGGGTCCCAGGAGAGATATCAAAACGAGTCGCGCTATTTAAGCGAGATCGCGGTGTTGGAGTAGTAACACCATCGTCACTTGTGGATTCCGCTGCATCTTGTGCTTGTTGTGTTGACAATAACCGACGAGATAAATCGGTAGGATTTGGTACGGAGCCGCCCAACCTTGCGGTTGGGCTGCCCGTACTATGGTATTCCATATCAATTATTCACCAGATATGTTAAAGATTGGACAAGAGTAGGTTGGGAATATTTTTAAAAACAATATATTAAATAATAAAGAGGCAGTTGGGTTTGTGGTAGACAGAAACACTTTAAATAAGGTGAATCTATCACCCAAACGCTTAGATTTCGGTCTTGTTTCGAATAAAAAAATCAATTTACAACGTTGGTTTATTATTGCCAGATTAGCTCGTGTATTGTGAAACCACCAAACTTTGGCGCAAGCATTATTATAGTTAAAAGATCATTCGTACCATTTGCTGTCAAAGATCAAGACTCAAAATGGCCAAAAATTCCGGAAATAAACATTTTACCGAATTTATAAAATTTGTTTAACATAAACCTTGTATTTTTCGAGAACATTGCAAAAAATATCCACATATATTTTACTAAGATTGTGTGTAAAAAATAGAAGAGAATATGGAAGTAATAATTTTATTTAGAAATAAAAGGCAAAAATATAAAACTAGAAAAGTATTATTCAATAACTAAAGTTTTTATTATAAACAAAATTCCTTTTAGCATTATTTAGTGATGCAAGTGGATCTTTTATTGCAAGCGTAAATATTCAAGAATGGCACTATCATAAATATTTGATGAAGCGAACTTTTTAGAATATGTAATAGTGTTTTTACAACCAAATTATTTGGTCTTTAATTATGCAAAAAAAACATGAAATAAAGTGAAACTTCTTTTTTACAATAACAAATATTTAATTTTTAGTTTATTCTTTTCCTTAAATTTTTTTGCATATATGTATGTATAATTTTTTACAAGATATTAAGGTTTATGTATTATATATATGCTAATTCATCCCTGTAAATGCAGTGATGTGTCCAATAGTATAAAAATTTGGTTGGTAGTCAAATGGTTTTATTAGAAGATCAGTTATGCTTCCAATCTTCAAAAAGTACATCACTGCTGTAATGTGTGACAGGGTTACGCCAATGATGTGGCGCAGCAATCAATCAAAGACTGACTGTACCCCTGGCGGCGAACAAATTAGTCGCTAGTTGCATCGTGATCCAACCAATGATGTCGCTTTGAGTGATACTTAAAAACGTTAGAAAATCTTGACTAATGCTAACTATGCCGATCTTAGAAATATACGGGTATATTTATTTCCGAAAAATTTATTAATGTATTTTCAATTGCCACAGTTTAAAATTATATAAAAAGTTTATAAATATTAAATATTAGCCATTTGAAATTATACCTGAAGTAATATTTTTTTAATTTATTATAAAAAGTTAAAAAGTTGATAAAAGATTTGTAAAGATAATACTAGAAAGAGATGGTTTTTTCTTGAATTGACCAATAACTTAAGGTATCTGATAAGATACAAGTTGCAGATAATCAGATATATTAAGATAAAATATGCAATTATTTTACACTGTATTTTTAAATAAAAAACAAGCGATATTTGATTAAATCATTGAAACAAGCTCTATAATTTTATTATAATATCACGTTACAATAAACAAATCCTTGTTTTAATACAACTGAAAATCTTTGATACAGAAAAAAAATAAGAATCATATATACATAAATAAATAATTATATATGAAATTACCACCTCTCTTAACGACAAAAAGGACAACCATCTTGTAATTTGTTCCTAATATCATGACATAAGCAGAGATCAATATGACCACATCCAGGATATTTGACCTCAGTTTGAGTAAGGCACATCGCTGTACACCAAGGTGAAGAACATTCCTCTCGACACTAAAATAAATAAATGGCTTAAACAATAATTCTAGACGGTAATAAAACAACTATAAATATTCACAAACCTGATGTCCGCATTTTAATTTTTTAGAGCATCTCTCCTTACATCTAAAATTATCTACATCAGGACAAAGTACTACTTCAGAATGTCCACATGGAGGGCACATTATAATCGTTTCTACACATTTGCCACATTTTTTATTACATTCTTTATTGCATGGATGCCCACAAGGAAGGGTACGTATGCAATTTTCCTATATAATTTAAAAAAAGATTTAATTATATACTAATTAAATTGCTATTTAATAACATTAAAATCAAGATGCATAAAAAATATACCGGACAAAAAATTTTATCGTGTGAAGATAAATGGCATATACTTTGACAAATCTTATATATCACAACAAAAGAAATTTTTTAGTAATTTAATAACATAAATTCCTAATTTAACGATTGATTACTCACATGACCACAATCCATTTTTTCTTCGCAGTTTCTCGAACATCCTCCTTCAAGTGGAAAATCTGCAAAAGTAAAAACTTGTGTTTCCTTTTCTGGGTGTTTTTGACAATATAGATTAATAAATTGATCGCACTTCTTCGATTTTTCTAATATACTTAAAACCTCTCTCCATAAAGTAGATCGGTATCTTAATTGAGATGCATTGCCAAAAATGTATAATCCATGCTTTGCTCGTGATAAAGCAACACACACTATTTCAAAGAAGAGTATATAAGTTAAAATCTACTAATTCTTTTTTTTTTTAAAAAAAAAAAAGATTAAATATTACCTCTGTTGGATATACTCAAGAAACCTATACCCCGATTTGACTCATCACTTCTTACCAAAGACAATATAATTATGTCATTTTCCTCTCCTTGGAAGCCATCCACTGAGCTTACACGGATCTGTTTAAGTACTGGTGTTTTACGGGATTCTTCTCTTAAATATTTATAAATTTCTTTTCTTTGCCCAGAGTACATGCTTAAAATGGTGCTATTAAAAAAGAAAGTACGTTAAACAGAATCCTTTATTAGAGGTCGTTATCTGACTCTCGATTCTTGAAGACTTACATGCGACTTTCTTCCATCCCACCCATCACAAGATAATTAGCAAGTTTAGCACACATACGTGCCTCAAATGTATTGGTTCTACTCATTGTGTCTCTTTCGAGTTTCTCACTTTCTTGGTGATCAAAAAAAAAAAGATTATCGGTAAGGCCTGGAACATCAGGATAATGGTTTACTTCTTCATGATCTGAAAGAGCATCGTGATAGATTGGTGTGAGCAATTTCCTGATTTCAGGTCGCATACGACGTTGTTCTCTAAGTAGAGAAAACGGCAATTCCAAATTTCTCAATCGTTCAAATAATGAAACATTCAATTTCTGTAAATTCGAAATATAAAAGTAAAAATATTTAATTTCGAAATTTAATTTTTACTAAAAAAAAAAAGAAAGAAATATTACATTTTTTTCAGCAAGTTCGTGTACAGATATATTCGGTCGAAGTTGTTCATGATCACTATATTAAATTATTGGTAAGATAAACGCATTAAATATTATAAATTTGAGTCATATTATAAAATTAATTACCCTATAAGTATCAAATGTTGAGTCTCAGGTGTAAGAGCAGTCACGATATGCGCTTCCAAAGTCTCAGCAGCTTCTTCGATAATCATGATTTTTGGTCCTAAATTCATTAATAACTTATGATATTTGGCCTAAAAGTTTAAATTAAAAATAAATGACTCGAATAATCATATTTCATTGTCTTTTTGTAATATATTATTATAACTACTTACTGCGGCTGTAGTGGTCATTCCAATAATGCGAGCCTGCTTAAGAATAAATAAGTCTTCACGAGTTCTTTCAGCTTTTATTTTATCGCACAATTCTGAATATCTACGACAGCGCGCTTTAAGCTTATCGCAAGTTTCATTTAATTTTTCACGACGCCAGCGATTATGAAGCGCTGCGCGGACTTCATCAGGTACTTCCCATAAATCATCCCATTTACTATATTTATCTATTGTATCTTCATCTACATAGGTATCCGACCGTATGCATTTTTCACTCCTTAAATTTACAAATGGTACATCACTCATAAATTGATTATCATCATTTCCATGAAAATCTGCCTCAGCATCCTTGATATCTTCTTCGTCAACTTCATCCTCATCTTCTATTTGATTCCCGCCATCTTGTAAGATTAATTGGTTTATTTGAAAGTCAATATCGTTTTGTCTTGAAGTTGCAGCAGTTATAGAGGGTTCTAACCATTCTTGAATATAGTCCCTTTCGCCATTATCATTGGTACTAGACGAACAAAACCAATCATCTTGCATAAGGTTTGAAATTTGTTCTGTACTGAGGTATCCCTTCTCCTTGATGTATTCCAATTCAAGAAATGGATTCTCTATCTCTTCACATAATGCAATCATCTCACGCGTGATTTGTTCTTTTTGTTTAAATAAACCATTGATCTCACTATTTTTAAACGGACGATCGGATGATTTTATATCCTGTCGTTTATTATATAATGTAAGCATTTTAATTGTGTCAGATTTAGATCTTGAACCCAATCTGACAATTTGATCCTCAAATTTTTGGATACCTAAATTATTTAGATAAAGATTCGAAGTTACAATTATTTAGAAATCGATAATTATTAAAAGATAAAATTTTTTTTAATACAATAATCACAAACCTTCAAGGAATTGGTCTAAAGCATGGTTTGTCTGGCATGCAACAACAATCTTATACGGCAGATTATCTATTAACATCTTAACTGCTTTAAGACCCACATAAGTTTTCCCTGTACCTGGAGGACCTTGAATTAAAGCTAAACGACATGTCAACATCCTTTTCAATGCATCATATTGAGAAGTATGTAAAGTAGGAAATATGTTTTCGACTGCTGGCCATACTCCACTAATATCAAACTATAAATAGCATATCGTAAACGCACATATACATTGCAGTAAAACATAAAATCATATATAATTAAAATTACCGTTTTTTCACACACAGTGTCATCAGTTTCAAATTTATAGGTTGGTTGTCGTATTTTTAAGTATTCCGGAATGTCGATTTCTTTATTAAGTTCAACAATATGCTCCTTAAAAGGTAATGTATCAGGATCCAGTTCCTGAAGAACATTTAAGACATGTTTGTAAGCTACATATAAAATTTGGTTCAATTTGTAAGCTACAAAGGATATCTCATTAATATAATACAATATCTGAGTATTTTAAATACCTTCAAAATATGACGAAGTTGTCTCAACCTAAATAACAAATAAATAGTTTATTTATGAACAAAAAGAGCAAAAAGAGAAAGAAAGAAACCCATTAACGATAAAAAGAATATATTACCATGACATATCCATCTGACCATTCAAATTCGATATCCTCAAATCGAAAAAGTACATCAACCTGTAAATCATAATTTCTTTCAAGAAGACTAAGAGAACGATTGTAAACAGTTCCAAATTTCATAGTGTCAAAATTATCCTTTGAAAAAACGACTAATGTCCCGGGAAGTAGACGTTTACTCGTAGGCCTGATAAATAAAAGTTTTAATGAGATACATCACATATAAATGATATCAAATATTATAATTTACAATACCATATGACACGCTCATTATGTTTGACTGTGAAACTGATACGATGCACAACGCCAATGCTTGTAAATGATATGCGCACAAGATTAACCTTCTCGTAAATTCGTAAAGTACGAATTTCTTCAGCTTTCTTTCGAAAAAGCCGTATTCCTTCGCGAAGAGGCCTTAGGCAATCTTCTCTTAATAATTCATAATGTGTTTTAAGATATTCATCGAGTGATTCATATGGACCATCAATATTATTGACAGGAATGTCTTCCGGCCGTGGTCCAAGAAGTTCTTTTTCGGTCGGAATAATTGGTATTGCACGAAAGCCTTTCTTTTCCGTAACATGAAACTCTTGAAGGACTGGTAAAATTGTATCATTTCTTTTATTATCATATCTGCTACCACCTCCCCTTCCTTTTCCGCCTCCTCTCGTATTATTATTTCTCTGGTTGTTCCTATTGTTTGTATCGCGGCCATAATCTGACGTTTTTTGTCCAGTATTCTTTTTTTTACCTTGACCTCGTTTGTAAGTCATTTTTTTTTATAACTATTGTAAGTAAAAAAAAAAATTTGAAATTGAAAGGGAAGAACAAAAAAGCTGAATATTTTGTGCATGATTCGGAAAAACTTCAGTAATACGTTACCCACATCATCACATGATCATGAGAATATAGGTGACAATTAGTAGTAATAATCTCGTTTGTATTTGTTCTTGCTTTTTTTCTAAAATATTATGGAAGGTCTATTATAAGTTCAAATAAATATTTGAATTCTTTTTTCATTTTATCAAATTCTAGTATTAATATAATCGAATGGTTGTCAAATACTAAAATCAATCAAATATTAAAAACAACTTAATTGCTAGTCTGAATCAGGAATAATAATAATGATTTTTTGTAGCGATAAAAAGTTAAATTTTGTGATAAAATGAAATGGTTCTGAATGAATTCATAATAAATATATTAATAATAGTCAATACTTAAAATTGCTAAGTAAAATAATTTCTGAAAGATTCCCTAAATATAATTTCACAATTCTGGCAGGTTAATTTTTGACATAATCTTTTTATCGGAAAAAATTTTTGTTTGGCCCAAATGTCATGTGATCATAGCTTTGATTAATTTGATAGTTTCTTTTTCTACATTGGATATTGTTTTTAGGATTAATGTCATAAATACATTATGATTGTGATCGGCATGCACTTAACTTTAAAAATACTATAATACCGGGATAATTTATCTATCACAGATTAATAACTGTAATTATCACCTGGCTACTAATTGGCCGCCAGTTATAAACTGGCGGACCAATTAGTATATCTAGGATGATAAAAAAATTATTTACTAATCTAGTCTATTCGGATGATAACCCGTTTATATACCAATACATATCACCAAAAAAAAAAAAAAATTTATCATAAGACTTTTGTCTGGAACAACTTGCCATATACTGTATATTGGGCCTGCTCAAAATGTTGATATAATAATATACCGGTATACCATCACCGGAATACATAGTAATTTACAATTTATTATTAAAAATACACAATTCTGTCTCTGTCATTGTATATAATTTAATATAAAATGTCCTCATTGAAATAAATTATTAAACCACTATTTTACATTTTTAATTTTGGATCAAGATTTTCTTGCCCCCATCGAGTAGTAACTTTACGTCTCCAAGTGAAAAACTCAACACCACCGTCTCCAGTAATATCAACAAAGTTTCCAAATTTAGAACGATTTATTCCTCCAAATGAAAATGGTTCCCTACAAAATTTTTAATTATTAAATGTACTTTTAAATGAATAAGTTTAATGTCTTCCGGTAAACTCACCTAGGTACAGGTACTCCAATATTAACCCCGCACATTGCAGCATTAAATCGTTTTATAAACCATTCGGCTGTGGCACCCGTTGTTGTATAGACACATGCAGCATTACCATATGGATTATTATTCTCGATCTCAATTGCCTCTTCCTTACTAGAACATTGATAAATACTTAAAACAGGACCAAAGATTTCATCATGTAAAGCTTTATCTTCTTTATTTTTATGGAATATAACAGTTGGTCCAATCCAAAATCCTTTTGTATGGCTTTTAGTCCATGAACGACCATCAACAAGAATATTTGCTCCACCATGTTCAGAAGCTTCAATATAACTAGTAATTTTATCAAGTGAAGCTTTATCGATAACAGGTCCAACCTCTCCAGATTTAGATCCTGATTTCAATGCCATAGCTTTGTCAGTAATACGTTCTAGTAATTCGGGTTGTGATCCAATAATTAAGAGAACTGATGCTGCCATACATCGTTGACCTTTTCATAAAATAATTGATTATATATTTTTAAAAAACTAAAAAACTTGTTTATGAAATATCATGTTTAATAATAATTACCAGCACATCCAGAGAACGAATTTACTACATCGGTTGAAGTTGTTTCAACATTACAATCTGGCGAAGCAATCAGGTGATTCTGTAAAAAACTATTCTGGTCAATATTTTTTTTAATTGAAAAGATTTAAATATTAATATTCGACAAACTTACTTTAGCTCCACCTAATGCAAGAACTCTTTTACCCAATTTGTGACATCTCTCCATAACAAGATTAGCCACTTGTGAAGTTCCCACAAAAGTAACTGCCTTGATATCAGGATGATCACAGATTGCATTTACAGCTAATGAAAAAAAAATGAAAAAACTTAGTAATAAATTAACTTAATTGAAAGTGATCCAATAGAATACTCTTACCATCAACGGTACCATTAACAAGGTTAACTACTCCATCCGGTACACCTGCTTCTTTCAAGAGCGAAACAATACGATACATAGTTAATGGGACTTTTTCAGATGGTTTTAGGATTAATGTATTTCCCGTAGCGATAGCAATTGGTAAAGACCACATGGGAACCTACAATCAAAAACGTATTAATAACAAATTCTTACAAAATAAATATTATTTGATTATAAAATTTACCATGATTGGAAAGTTAAAGGGCACAATAGATGCAACAACACCTAAAGGCACACGAGTATCATTGCAAGTTACACCTTTTGAGACATCTAATATTTTACCTTGGATCTAAAAGAAAAAAAGAATTAACGATCCAATAAATTATACAAAAAGTTTAAAATATAATAACGCATTAAACTTACCAACTGAGGAAGCGAAGTAGCGTATTCTACAGTTTCGGCTCCTTTAGCGATACTCGCGATTGCCTTTAAACCCAATAATCATGTATTAAATCAATTAAAATAATTATGATCTAAAAAATGAGATATATTTATATACTTCAGCTTTGTTTTTTCCATGTTCCAATACAATTAAATCAGCCAATTCGTCAATATGTGTGTGTAACAAGTTATGAAAACGGAATAAAGTTTGAACGCGATCTTTGACTGTTCGAGCACTATAAAACAAAAACATAAAAATGAGGTAATCAATTCATCTAAAATAATATGATATATATAATAATACCTCCATGATTTATAGGCTTCCTTGGCAGCCTCAACAGCTTTTTCAACATCTTCAGCGGTCGAGATTGGACATTGCGCAATTACTTCCCCAGTATGTGGAGTAGTTACAGGAATGTACTTGCACGGAGTTTGAATAGAGTCAACATATTCTCCACCAATAAAGTTTTGTAAAATACGTGAAGATTCACCATTCAAACCTGACATTTTCGTTCTTTACACAATAAGGAGTTTAAAATTTTGAAATTATGTAAAGGTACCGTTTTTCTTGATTTAGACAGTAATTAATATATGATCTCACCGACATTGATGATCAGCACGGGGCCATTCTCCAATCCGTAAACAGTAATCCTTAATTTGGCGATCATTTTTATAATTCTATACACAAGCATTCTACGCAATAGTAGCATTAAACATATAGTAGGTTAACTAGTTCTACAATGTATAACATTTTGGTATATAGATGGGATGAAAATTACCATGTACAAGTATTCAGTCTTTATATACATTTGTCTAATGAAATTTTGCTCTTTAATACTTTAATGATTATAATAGTGTTGGATATTTAATGGATAATTGATATATAATCAAATCTAATCCTTATATTAAACAGATACTGGAAATTAATATAATTGGATATTTAATTGAACAATTATATATTAATTATTAAATGACATACTATTTACTAAGAATATCTTTAGTGACTTTTGAAGTGTTTCTTTTTTTGTTAAAAAAAAAATGTACTCGCTTTACGAAGTTCGTTATAAGAAAATCTTGGGAAATTTGGTATATTGCAGTAAATTGTATAGGATAACGCATGTCGCACAAAATATCTGTTATATTAATATAAAAATTCGTTATGAAAAAAATTCGTTATAAGAGTCATTTTTATATATATTTAATGACTTACTTTGTTAAACGGTATACAGCATTTCATTAGTAATCTTTGGTATAACGAGGTTTTTTTATATGATAAAATTGGTACAACACCGAACTGACCGAAGGTCCGCTATATTAAGAAGTTTGTTGAATCAAAATCCGTGGCGACAGTGTTGCGACTGTTGCGACTGTTTATTTTTTTTTAAAATATTATTAATTTGTAAAAGAAAAAAAAATCAAAATTTCAAGTTATATTTTTAATATCTTTATCAAAATACTACAAAATACTATGTAATAAATACATTGGGGAAAAGATGACGATTACATAATATAAATGCATATTTTAACGATTATTAATAACTTTATTTTAACTGAATTAATTAATGATCAGCAGTTTGGTAGGACTGTGTTAACTCAAAAGTTAGAGATCATGTGATTTGAGTGTTAATTATATACGTAATGTTTTACGCCACGAGATGATTAGATGATTGGTGATCAATTGATTGATAGTGTTCCCCAATTCCCATGTGCACCCATACTATTTACAATTTCCTCTCTTGTTCTTAAAAAAATAAAAAAATTGTAAAGTCCAGATAATAAAGATAAAGGGAAAATGTCTCGTTACAACCTTTTCCTTAAGATATCTAATGTTGTTGCCTATATATTAGTTATCGCTGCTAATACCGTAGTACATGTTGGAGACTCAAAGCCTGACGAACCGGTTACTAATAGCACTCTTATTTCTGGTAATTGGACAGTTCCAGAAACTTACCTTTTACCCGCGACCTACACTTTTGGAATTTGGGGACTTATTCATGCGTTACTATTTGGTTTCATTATTTATCAATGGTTTGAAGCTGCTGAAACTGCAACTGTTGAGGGAGTTAAATTTTATTATGTTACTGCAAGTATTTTAACTGTTGTCTGGTTATTAATTTGGGTGAGAATCATTTTTTTTTTTTTTTAAGATCATTTTATTACAAAAAAGAAAGAAAAAATATTAATATATTTGTCTTATTAATCGTAGGGTAATAGTAGAATTAGAATTCTTATTGATGCTTTTGTTCTCGCAGCGATCTCTATGAATGTATTCAAAGCATTCGATAATATTTCAACACATTATCCTCCAAAAGATTTTAAGGATCGATTATTTATTCATTATCCTTTTACAATTTATGCAGCATGGACTCTGATAGCAACAATTTTGAATTTTTGGGCAGCAATTCCTTTTCTCAACACCGTATTTTTTTCCACTATTGCAATTATATGTCTTGGAGTTGTGGGATATGATTATAATAAAAATCATGATGTTGTCTTCTCGGCTACCATTGCTTGGGCACTTGTTGGTATTGCAGTTAGACAACAAGATACATTGCCAATTTTAATCGCTTCTTCTGTTTCTTCTGGTGTGATTTTAGGAGGTATTTTAAGAAAATGGATTAGTAAAACCCGTGCTTATATTGAATTAAGAAGAACTAGATTGAGAGATGTTGGTGAAACTGATCCTTTGTTACCATAAATAATCAATAAGAAACTTCGTACTTATACATGTATCAATTATTATTATTATTACATATTCATTATTTGTATAGGTCCTATATGAATTAATATATTAAAATTTTAAGTCCTTTAAGTAAATGAAAAATATTTTATTTCTTATATTTATTATATTTATTAAATATTAAGCAAAAATTTGAATCTTCATTATCACTACTAATCTTTTCATCCTTAAAGAAAGGAGCAACAGCTAATTTTATGGTACCTTCGAATAGGGATGAAATCACATGAGATAGACGATCACCTGTTTGTTTAAAATCTGGAAACTGAAATAAAGAAAAAGAAAAGTAAATAAGAATAAATAAAAAAAAAAGTTAAGTATCAATATTTATGATTAACTTACGGAATTTGCTTCTAAAAAATAGACATTTTTATGTTGATCGACCAAAAAATCGAAACCAAATAATTCAAAAGCATTTTCCAACGGCATAAATTGAATCACTTCATTTGAAACAGATTCAAAACAATCATTTAAAATTAATTTAATTTGATCAAAAATTATTTCCAAATCATTTACGTTAATTCCTTCTTCTGATGATAAATCCCAAAATAATTTTACTTGATTTGATTCTTTAAAAGAATTTTCATTAACTTGTAAACAAGTATTTGTTAAATGTGATAGGGAATTATTAATATCAGTGGGTGAATATGAATTTAATGCGAAAAGAGCCAACATTTCTTTATAAAGATAAACTCGTAAATTTGATATTGCCAAAATATAAGAACGGATATGAAATTTTCTATTATTAATTAAAAGTGGATTTGATATATATCTTTGAATAACCCATTCTCTTATATGAAACATGCTTTCATCATCATCATCATCTACTTCTTCTATTTCTACTTCTGCTTCTTCTACTTCTACTTCCTTTTCTTCATCTTCATCTTCTTCATGATCTTCTTTATCATCTAAAGTTTTATTTCCTTCAAAAACATTTCTTAATTGTTCGATACTATAAAAAATCTTAATTTCGGCACCTTTATTACCTAAGCTAGGTTTTAAAATGAATTTGACTTTTTCTTCTTCGATCCTTTCATCATTTTCTTTACATTCTTGTACAACTTCAAAAATTTCTTCTAATGCTTCATCTAAATAATCTATATGTATAACTTCAAAAAACCATGTTTCAGGTGTAGATTTTTTTAGGATACTATTTGGATTTTTGCTTATATATTTTTGTATATTATAATTTAAATTTGCTTTACGAATTAATCCTTTCCTTATACAATATGTATTAATCATTTGTGTTTGTTTATTTGACATTACTTGATCAAATTCTATATCTTCATATTCCAACCAAAATAATATTTTTGAACTTGATATTAAGGAAGATCCAGTAGATCGAGGAAATTCTAAGATTTGTAAATTGGGAAGAATTGTTTTAAGTGATTTAATTATTATATTTCGAGTATAATCATCTTGAATTCCTACTATCGCTATTTCTTTCATACTAGATTCCATTTATTTTTTTATAAATAAAAAAATCCAAAAAAAAAAATTACTATGTTTATGTTTCACTTTTTTTTATCACGTGTCCTTGTGTTTGTAAAAATTTATTCACTTAATGTATAAAATAGATTTTAAAGGAATATTTTATTAAAAAAAAAAAAACAAAATTTTACATCAATCATCTCCATAAAGAGAAATATCTCTAAATGAGGATTAACCACCTGTAGAAATTTTCACCCGGTACTAAAATTTTGATTTGCGTCAGCACGCCTACCATGTACACGAAATCGATATAAGCAAGTATATGACGGGTTATCCCAATTACTATTTATTTTCATAATAATAGCTCGTACAGGTTTATTCCATTTATCCACCTCAAATGTTTGAATAGGTAAACCATTTATATCATAAATAAACCGTCCCAAAAATAAATGATTTGGAGATGATCCAAGTTTTAAATCTTTACCAGATGAATGTAAAAGACTAGATGATGATGATGATGATGATGATGATGAATCAAGAATGTTTGAACCTGGTTGATTACTGGGAATATTCTTTAATGTACTAGTAACGTAATCAATATTTTCATCAGATTTTTGTTCCATTTTCTGATCTGTTTTCTCATTTGAATCATTGTCATCATCAATAAAAGCCCAAACTTCGAATTCTTTCGGAGCACTCGTCGTCCCCATCGCTACCGTCTTACTAACATGATCATAAGTTATAGCGGTAACATATATTCTTCTACTCAATAATACGGCTAATTGTCCTTGTTGTCCAGCGAATGGCCAACATTGTCCTACATGTGTTTCTGGTTGTAATGCAGTTATCGGTGGTTTACCTCTTGTGATTCCAGAACCTGTTAATTTAGCTATTGCTAATTTAAACCATGAAGTTGGCCATTGCTCATACGTTGGTGAAGTTAATGGAACAATTATTTTCGCCCCTCCCGAAGATAATGCAAAATCCGCTTTATTTAGTTTATCTTGTGAATAAGTATATAACATTTCTTCTACAGCTTTTCTAATTTCTTGTCGTACCATATCAACAACAATATCTTCTCTTGTTGTTAAATCATAATTTTGTGTTGGAATCCTTTTTTGTACTTCTGCTGCACATACCGTTTTTACCTGATCTGCAACTACATCTCTAATTAATGCATCATTATCACCCTCAAATGACGATGTTTCAATATTATCCTTGTTATTTATAGTATGTGATATCGATGAATCTGCTAAATCGGCAACATTAATTTGTCGAATCACATTATTAATTTTTGTTATACACTCTGCAAATTCTAAACTTTTTAAATCTGTCACATTACATGGAAAATAATTATATAAAAGAAAACAAAAGATCACTGTAAATATTATAAGCCAATTATCATATACAAATGAATATATTCGGCTAGGTACCGATCTAATAGATCTTTTAATCCATTCTTTTGCTAAAATAATCGTTCCAATAAGCTTATTCCAAAAAACAAGTCCAATACTATTCAACGCTCGATTAATACTAAAATTTTGTTGTTGTTGTTCCTCCTCTTCATCCATTCGTACTTCTTGTGTGCCATCATCATCAATATTTGTGGGAAATGTTTCTAATTCTTCTCCTAGTATAGAATTATTTAATGGCCTAACAACAGAACTATTGTCATCATCAGAATTTTCTTCATAGTTAAAAGGCTGAAATAAAATAGATGATCTTCTCGAATGATTTGTCGAAGCGGTTTCAGAATTACGATCAGAAGAAATTTCAGAATTTACAAAAGGTGATGATGCACGCGATCTACTATTAGTAGAAATTACTGACTCCGTACCAATAAATGAATCTCCTCTAGATAATGAAACTGATGATGACCGAGAGAGAGAACTTTCCGAGAGATTGATGATTAAATTTGAACGAATATCTTCTAAATTATTATCTAATGATTGTTGTGAGGTAAAGTTAGAGTTTTCTGTTGGTACCGTATTAAAATCCTCATTCGTTACACTTGATACTGAAATAAAACTCGCATTTGCATCAGTTGGTTGAGAACTAGGAGGGGAAATTGAAGAATGCCTAAGTTGATATCTATTATTACTCTTACTACGTTCACTAATATTATCAAAAGGTGAAGACTCCTTTTGTGCTGTTGTTCTTGCTTTGGAAGCTGATTGAGATCTTAATTTTCTATAATTTGTTCGCTTCATAACTTTTGGATAATAACTAGCTGTTGATGTTGTATTAATACAGTAGGTTTGGTCAAAAGGCATTCTCTATTCCATAAAAAAAAAAAAGAATATACATTTAATATTTAGTTGCAATGAACATTTTCAACAAAAAAAAAAAAACGCGTTATAATTAACTAATTAATTTTCCCAATTAATTCTCCACCTGAAAAAAATGTAAACATGTGTCACGTGATAAATAAGATAATCAGTTGATTACACAACATGCCGATCGTTGACTGATCGGGAGTTTAACTTTACTTTCACGTGATATTTAATGGGGGTTCAGTAAACTGTAATGGTAGGACAATTCAGGAATTTAAACATAATATGAATCCTGAATCAGCTCCTATTTATATGCTTTAAAATTTCTATCAATCACCCTTTATATCAGAAAGTAACTTTCAGATATAAAGGATCATTACTAATAAGAAAATTATAACAAGACAGAATGAAAATAAGTATTATTTTCGTATATACATTTTAAAAATTACTGTTTATTTCTTTTGCAAATATTTGTAATAATATGTATTTATTATTCAAAACTAAAGTAAAAAGACAATTCATTGTTTTGTTTTTTTTTCTTTTTTGATTATATAATACTTAATATTTTATAGTATAAAATGCTTGAATTTTTTAAAATGGATTATTATTTATATTTTAATACAAATAATAAGAAATTGTTTTAATTTTGTGAATATAAAATTATAAATTGTTTTACTTCACACTTTAATAAAATGATTTAGCAAAAAAAAAACGATATTCATAATATTACTTAATTTTTATACTAAACATTTTTTTAATTTTACTATTCTCATTGTTGGAAAAATATACTTTCTTTATTATATCAGTGATTTTACGGAGGGCGATGTATGATTGGTCAATCAAGTTGCATTGCCGATGTTATAAACGGCTAAAATATCACGATCATATGTGGCCGTGTATTATATATAGTAAATTAATAAGTAAAAGAAAAGAATAACCAGAAATAAGATTATAAATACATATTTCCTTACATATTGCTATATTTGTATTATGCTTGTCATGACCGAATGATGTTCGCTTCTGATATCAAAGATGATCACAAGTTAAATTTTAATTTACCATGAACCCCAACACAGGACGCATGGGACAATTATTTAACGCCTTATTTTAAACTGTATAGATGTAAAAGATTTTTTTTTTTATTTTCAATTTTATTTTTATTTTGTTTTTTTTATTTGTGAAAATATTTTTTTTTAGATTAAGTTTGTTATTATTCGTATTATTCGCCAAAACTTAATTTTGGTCAACAAGATTAATAAATCACGTGGAGAAATTTTTTTTTCGAGATTACTGGAAGATCTCCCGCAGCAACACCCATTTACTACCCATATGCTTTAACTCAATTTTCATGTGAAAAATATTCGGTTTAGTAATTTGAAATCTTAAAATCGGCATTTTAATTTTACTCCTTTTTTCCCTAGATATAAAATAATAAAAAGGATCTTGGTACGCATTTTTTGAACTGATAGGTCAATTTGTTGTTTTAGCGTGAATTACCGAATACCTCATTAAACCGCATTCCACACTTAATCTTATCAAATGTTTAGTATCAAAAAAATAATATCAACACCGCAACAACATAATAATGATACAACAGTATCAACACATCTTTATCAAGATGACGACGAGCCTTATCTTGCCGAAGCTGTAGATAGTTCCCCGTTGAGCGAGACTAAAGAAGTAAAACTTATCTTTGAAGGTGAAGACAGAGATCCCACCGTACTTGTACCTGGTCTATTTTGGGTCGACAAAATTGAATTCACCTTGCCGGGTGGAAAACAATGGGTTATTTCTGATTACTGGAATGATGTTAAAGATATTGTCGAAGATCCCTTTATTTCAAGTCCAAGTTCTCTAAGTGTAAGCATCTTTCAAAAAAAAAAAAATTTTTTTCTTTCTTGCTAAGCTGATCATAGACGATGAGTTTATTTTTATGTTTCTGGCATGAAATTCTCATATAAATATAGTTGCACTAAATTACTAACATTTCCTTTTTTTATCTCTTATATAAACATGTAGTCCGTTCATGATAGAGCTGTAGAACTTTATTATCAAATTAAAGGAGGTCAAGTTGTAAGTAATTTTTTTTAAAGAAACTTTATTATTATTATTTTTTAAAAATAAATTCTTTATCTCTTTTAGGATTATGGATTGCATCATTCATATCAATTTTGTCATAACCAATTTGGTGCAACATATGAAGGGTTCATGCCTAGTTGGAGTCCAGACAATCCAGTTGTGTTAATTGGTAAAGGTTACGGAGCTACAACTGCACTTTATCTACAACACTTGTTGTCAACCAATTACTTTGGACAGCATACTTCGGGAAGAATGGTCAAGGCCATCATTTGTCTATCTGCGCCTCACCGTGGAAGTACTCTCCCTTATTGGTTTGGTCTTGAAGCAGGATCAAAATGTGTGGTTAATCCATTGAGTCTTCTTCAGTTACTTTTGTCTTTTGTTCATATCGTATGTTACTTCGCCTGTTTAGACCGGCTTTTCTCATTTCAATTAAATGACAAGTGGAATTTGAGCAGTAGAGAGGAAGGTGGGGAACAATCAATATGGAGCGCAATATCTGCGCGTAGCAAATTTGCATACTTCGGAGATAATTTCTTGGTTGATTGGTCGGTTGAAGGTGCAAGGATGCGGTACGCTGGAGAAGAAAGGGATAAACACTTCTTGGATCCTGATTGTGTTTATATTAATTATATTACGACAGGATCAAGTTGGAGATCTAAAATAACAGGTCATTATTTGCCGAGATTAACATGGCGTAATTTTCCGACCGCTATTATTTCTACGATCCTTGGACAATACAAAATGACACCGGATGTCGAACAACATGTATTACGCACATCATCATCAACTTTCTGGGAAAATGATGGTACACTCTCGGTTTATTCTCAAGAACCACCACCACATCAAAGAGTACAAATGAATATTGTCATTACAGAGAAACTTTTCGATCCAGTTGAACATGAATTAACTCCAGGTGCATGGTATAATGTTTATGTTGAAGATCGTTCAAATACAATATTATTTGACGATGAACCATTCTTAACTACTTTGCCTTTTGTTGAACAAATATTAGAAATTAATACTGTTAAAAGGTTTGGAGAATATCTTTCTAAAAATGTGGATAGTTTTGAATATTATTATATTTTTTTAGTAGAATTTCTTGAACGTCAATTATGTTATTTAAGATCAATAAAAAGTAATGGAAATAGTGTAGCAGTTATTAAAGATATAGAATATGTTACAAATTCTTATTTAATGAACGCTAATTTGGATCGTGTTGAAAGACGTACGAGTGACAAAGCTGGAGAAGAATGGTGTGAAAGAATTAATACTATTGAATTAATGAATAGCCCAAGTAAAATGTTATGTTATATTAGTAATATCCAAAAATTAAAATTATATTCGTCAGCCGAAGGTAGTTCTCAAGATTTAGCATCATTCAAAGATGATTTTTCTACAAATGGTTTAATTCCATCCGGGCCAATGTTTATAAAAGCTAGACATAAAATGACTACTGAAGATTATAGATCTAGCATGCAACAATAATGCTACATATCTCTCCATAATTTAATATCTTGAGGAAGAGATTATTTTTTTTACAAGATTTGAAAAACAAAATATTCGAAAAAAAAAAATTTATTTATTTTGTCGTAATCATTGCTGTTTTTAACTAGATAAAAAAAAACTAGATTAAAATTATTTGCTATTTGATAGAATACTTTTAACAATAAATAATCACATTTATCATACGAATTTTAATTAACAAATCAATAATCAATCTTGTAATGTAAGTCAGTTCGTATTTCAGTATATAATATAAGCTCAGGTTTTTTATTAATGGTGCAATTTAATTATTTAATTCCAGTATATATTAACTTTAGTTTTTTTTTTGGCTTTTTATTAATTTTATATATAATGAGATAAGTGCTAAAAAAATGTCAAATTGATATAAAAAAAATACCATTGATTTAAAACAATTAATATTTAAAAAACTGTTTGGTTTCTTTTTTAATATTTGTTTTATATTAATAAAATATTTACCTTCACAATATATTTTTATTAATAATTTTAAGCAAAAGGAACTTTTAATCTCTTAATTTTCAATTTAAATTTAGGCCTCAAATGTCACGTGTTTAGAGAATTAATCATGTGATTTATTAGTTAACATATAACCTTATTGTATCATATTTTATGTCATTATATACTTGACAATAAAATCTTATCTTGAGAATCATGAATCGGTTTATACCATTTAACTAGTGCAAGTAATTATTTAGATAGACCTGTATTTCCAAAAATGAATTTATTGATTAACTCGAAAATGGCCTTCTAAACCACCTGTATATTCTCTAAGTAAATTTGCAGAACAGCTAAAATTTCTAAATTTAAAAGTTATATAAGTTATATAATAAGAACATTTTCTTTATTGAGTGAATTTATTTACTGCACCCTGCGTTACAAAGCATCTTTCCTTTTTTGTAAATTATTTATATTGATCTTTAGTTTATACGCCGCACCCCCTTAAAATAGCAAATAATAAACATAAAAATATATATAAATTTGTAATGCAGAGTGCAGTGAATACATTATTTCTTCTTTATTTTTGTAATTTTTTTGTTATACCAGAACCCCGCTTACTTATAATAAAGGTCACTGTAGAAAATTGGCCCTTTACTAATAGTTTTTATCTTACTTTTTTCTTAAATTCTATTGGTTAATTATCTAAAAAGGAAAAAAATCATAACAATGTAACATAAAATTTCCTTTTATAGTAGGATCTGCAAAGAATTTTATATGTGATTTTTACTTTAGACCTGGGGATAACCTATCTTATAAATAAGCAGGGTCCTGTTACATCATAATGCTTAGCTGCGTCACTAACCTGCCAAAAACATGATTTATGATGTAATAATTACATAAGTTATTAAATTACACAAAAAAGTATAATATGAAATGACTCATTTGATTTATTTGATTTTTAATGTGAAAAAAACTAATTAATATGGATGAATTACAAGCTTTACGACATCAAAGGGTTTTCGAGTTATTAAAAGAGCCTGGAATAAAAGAATCTTTTAGAAAAGATTTGAATTTAATTGCATTAGAAAAGTGGGAAGAAGCTGGAGAACCTTTTGAAGAAGATGAAGAAATATTAGGTATTTATAATCAATTAGAACATTTATAAAGTCTCGAATTTTAAACTTTATCTATTAAACTTCTAGCATATCTTGAGTACAAGAAAAATGAAGCTTGTAAAAATAGTACTGACTCTGCTAACTCTGAATCAGCTGATGGAGTTATTAAACAAAAATCAATTAGTAAGTTTATTAATATTCTACCTGATTTAATAAAACTGATTCATATCCGCCGATTTGTGAAATTTGCTGATCATCAGTTATGTGGCGTAGTACCGATTAAAATCGATCAAAACCCGTTCCTACATAAGAAAAAATGTCAAAAAATATATAAAAAAACTTTTAAGACCTCTCCCAAAATATTTACCCCTTTAACCCAAAACCAGTAGAAGGAGTTTCTAGAAAAAGAAGGAAAAAAATATTATAAAGTTAATTTATTAGAAAAAACAAAAGAAAACTTTACAAAATTCAGAATATTTAATGATTTAACGAAAAAAAATTAACTGAAAAATAATTAATACTGTAATAATAAATATCAAATAGATTTTAATTAAACAACTAATCAATATATAATCTAAATTCGCTAAAACATCGTTATAAATATTTAGAGTTATTTATTTATTGAAAAGATTTTTTTTGAATAATTTTGCTTTCTAAATAAATTTTTTCTATAAACTATAAAAAAAAAAATAAAAAAACAGCTCCAAGTTGTATCTAATATAAAATAATTACAAATATACTTGCAAAAATTCTCAACTTACTTGATGTAAAAACTGTTTGAAAAGTTGATGGGGGTTGATGGGGAGTTTAATAGGGAGTTTACGAAAGAAAAAAATTTTTTTAACGCTACTTTTTGTTGAAGTAATTTCTTAATATCTGTCATATGATAATGTAGCACAAGTGTGATCATTTTTGCAAAACTTAATTTACCTAATTTTTATTAAATTATTGTCAAATTCCTTAATTTAGACGAATTTTGTTAATTCCGCAGATCGGCAGATATGTTCACATAAAATTTAACTTTTTAAGGAACTGGAAGACAAAGTTTTGTTAATGGAGATAAACAAAAAATTGGAAATATATATGGAATTTATCCCAATAACAATCAGAAGACCAAAAAGGAAAGTCTATTTTCTGTTTCCAAAATTAAAAAATAATCAATTATCACTACATACACTATTTGAACAAAAGTAGTGGATATCAAAACTTGGTTAATTTCTCAAAAATGTACATAATAACCTAGCTTAAAATTTTTGTATATAATTATTTATACTTTACATGTGCTATGTATAATATAAATATTATTTCATATATAAATAAATTTAAAATGTGATTACAAAAACAAATTTTAAACCAGTTTTTATTATATATAATTAATTGAATTTGGACACAATCAAATTATTAGTTTTTTTAAAAATAGTATCATAAAATTAAACTATTTAAACCTATTGTGATGGAAAAAATCTCAACAAATTAAAAATTACTTTGGTTGAATCATTGGTCAAAATATAATCATGAAATCGCTATCTAAAACTTTTAAATATTGAATACAAAAAATACTAAAGAAAATTGTTAAAAAGAATAATCATCAATCAGCTGAGCAAATTAAAAATAAATTTTAAGAGAAAACTAATATGGAAGTCTCTATCAAAACTATTAGAAGAAGTTTACATGAATTTAAATTTTTTTCTTATATTCTAATATCTAAATCACTTTTATAATCAATAAAGAAAAAATCATTTAAAATGATGTATTGAATAAAAAAATTAGTTTTTTGCAAAATGGATATACATGCTACCCAAATTATTTTAGGATGTCATAATTATAATTTGGGATGCTATAATTCATTCAATTTATATATAATTTACTATGTAAAGTACCAAAATAATTTGGAATGTCATAATTGAATTTGGGATTTTACTTATAATTACGGCAGCTTAAAATAATTTGGGTAGCATATATAAAATGAAAATCAGCTATATGAAGTGATAAAAGCTAATTTACCATATTTAAAAATGATGGTTCAAATCATATTTGAAAAATACCTGGAATAAGATTCAATATTAAAAACATGATTTCTTCAATTAAATATGATGGTAGGGAAATAATAGTATAGGGCTGTTTTCAGGAAAGGGATTAAAATCACTAGTAAAACTTGATAGAAAAATAAATTATTGGGACTATATCTAAATACTTGAATCACATTTGATACCAATAATTAATAATGATTTTTATAGGTAGGGTTATTTATTTTAAGATGACTGTTCATATTGCTAAAAATGTTAAAGAATAAATGAAAATAAAATAAATTAAAATTCTGGAAAATTGGCCAAGTCAATTATTTAACTTAAATTCCATTAAACACTTATGGTCAGAATTAAAAAGATGTATCAAATGATGACCCAAATTTGCAAAAAATATGAGAAAATTGAAGGATATTTTAAATAAAAAATGGAATAAAATTCCTAATAATTTTTTAATATACTGTATTTAATTAAAAGTATGTCTTGCAGAATTAAAGTATGTATTGCAAATAATAGCTGGCCAACTAAATATTAGGTTTATATATAATTTAGCTAATAAACTTTAAAATTATAATTTCGGTTACACAAGTTAAATAGATGCTATTGTCGCAAAATTTACCTAGAATTTTTCTGGCAAATTGAGAATTATCCCAATAAATTAGGTTAAATTGTATTACAATTTTGAGATAATGGAGGACTTATAATTTGGCAAATTTTATCAAAATGGCGCCATTTTTACAGAATTTTTAATTCAATTATTGAGAAATTTTTCAGTAAATAATTATTAAATTGTTGGAAATTTTAGGTAAATTTTAGTAATGTTATACAAACTAAGGTTGCTAGAGAAACTAAGGGGTTTTGGCAAGTTGGTGAAATGGCAAAATGGCAAAATTTTGCCGAAACTATATGAAAGTCTTATTAAAAAGTTGGTGAAACTCTGGAGAAAAGCAAAACCTGACGAAACTTATTATAAATGTCAAAACTGCCAAAACTTTGCCAAAACTATAATAAAACTATAGTAAAATTTTAGAGAAACCAATTGTAGAATTTTGGAGAGGTTTAGGCAGGCAACCTTAATGCAAACGTAGTGTAAATTGTGATAAATTTAGTCAAATTTTTAGTAATGTTATGCAAACATAATGCAAATTGTGGTAAATTTAATTAAATTTTTAGTAATATTATATAAATATAATGCAAATTGTGGTGAATTATAATGAATTTTTAGTAATTTTATGCAAATATAATGCAAATTGTAGTAAATTGTAATGTATTTTTAGTAATGTTATATAAATTGTTAAAAATTTAGATGAATTTTTCAGCAATATTGTGTAAACATAATGCAAATTATGAAAAATTGTGATAAATTTTGCATTTTTTCGGTAAATGTTATGAAATTTAGGATAATTTTGGACAATTAAGTGAAAATGTTTTACTGATTTTGGATAATTGAATATAAATGGTATAAATGCAACATTTTCAGAGATAATTTAGTGAAATTTTGCAATTGAGTGAAATTTAGTAATAATTTAAACAATTTAGTGTAAATATTATGACAATTTAAAATACTGATTTAATAATTTTATATAATTTATTATAATATTATTTATTAACAAATACATAATTATTATTTAACGATAAGAATCTATATTTATCAGATATCTGATGATCCATTTATAGTTAGATGCTGAAACTCTTTATATGCCAAAACTTATTAACCATATACTGAAAATAGTTTAGCTTTTAGTTTATATAGTTTTCAAATCTGAAACCTAAACCCATTGCTAATATTTTAAGTCATTTTCAAAATTCTAATTTTACTGAAAATTTACTAGATTTAGTAATAGTCTTATAGTTTGGGATTTCGGCAATAGTTTTAGTAATTGCATATGGGGACGCCCGCAGCAAAAGCCGGGGCTCGGCAAATCACGTGATTTTGCGAAAATCACAATTTAATATTATTGGTTAATTTAGTAAATCGCAATTTATTTTATCATTTTTAAAGATTTTTAAAATCAGTTTTTTGCAAACTAGGGTAAAATTTTGCAAGGAATTCATTAAAACATTGGTTTTTTTTCTAGCAAGTTTATATTATCCATTAAATATAATAAAATAAAAATACAAAAATCATAAATTATAAAATATTATATTTTTTTAAAATCAAAATTTTGGCCGAGCCCCGGCTTTTGCTGTGGGCGTCCCCATATGTTAAAATGTTTCAGCACCTAACTATAGATCTATCCATAGATAATCTAGGACCCAAGACATCACATATATAACTCATATTTGAGTTTTAGCAAATTCAATCAAAATTAGATTAAATTCATAATTTTAGATAAAGCAAATTAATTGAAAATTAATTAATAATCATAATTATAAGTTTTAGCAAATTGTATTGATTTTATAAAGTCATATTTTATATTTGAGTAAATTGGTATTTTTTTTAAATTTAACTTATCCTTTTTTTTAACTTTTATAGATAATATTTTTAAAATATTAGTTTTAGGGTTTGGGTTATATTTTGGCCAAAATTAAGTATAATTCTGGCCAAAATTAAGCATAATGCAGGCCAAATACCATTTGATTAGTTTTGCAACATTTATTTTTTAATAATTATTTATATTTAATTTATTATTTTTATTAATTTAATATTATTTTATCTATAATCTACATATTTTTAATTATAAATTATAAAAATTAACAGTTTAATTTATATTAATTATTTATTTTTTTATTGATAATAAAAAATATGATTGTTAATTTCAGTAAATTGACAATTAAATTTACTAATTTACAAATAATTTTAATAAATAGAAATTATATTTTATTAAGCAAATTTAAACCTATATTATTTAGAATTTTACTATAACACTGGTCAAAAACTAGGCAAATATAGCATGAGCTTGAATTTTATTAATTAATACTAAAGTAACGTAACTTTAGAGAATACAAAATATTCTAAAAAGAATCGCAATAAAGTGCAGAACTAATAGAAAAACAAAGAACAAATAATCTTTTGATATTACAATTTACAAATAAAGAAAAGCTAAGATTATTAAACCTCACCCTCTTTATATAAATAACTATGGCTACTCCTCCCAAATCTATTTCAAAATAGGTAAAGTCGACTATGCTATACGTANTGATGTGTAAACTTGCGCAACTTTTCGCACTATATAATTTCCTGATGTATTACAAATGTTTTCATACCTAATACTTTGAATTGTTAACCCTTGTAGATTTTGTCGGAATAAATTTAACACACGTGGGCTAAAGGTACCAAGAATTATGAGAAAATTTTTGAATTCTTTAGTATATTTCAAATTTCGTGTGGATATATTTTTTTCTTTTCAAATTACAGCTTGTAA